GGAATGCCTGAATTTGATTTTGAGTTTGTAAGTGTGACTTGTGAGCTTGGGATGGTTAGGTTAAAATCAAAAATGAAAAAAAAAAAAAAAAAACATGTGCATATTACATCCAGGATGAGGCGGTACATCTCAAGAGTGATTCTAAATTCTGCTCTGTCCTACAAAAACTTTTTCGAGCCAGGGAAGACCCATCCTAAAACTACCTCTTATTTTTATTTTTTTTAAAATAAGAAATTACATATTTCTAAATGCATAAATTCAACTCGTCAAATATAAATTCACAACGTAACATACTGCACATAGATTAACCTCAGGACTCCAATGTTTAGTTGTTAGCATCTTGAAATAAAATCTGTATTAGAGTTTTGACATTTGAGGAATTTTTTTTTCCTTGAGTAAAACTAAATATCATTTACAATATGAGAAAACAAGAAACTAACAACAAACTACAAGAGTTTGGTAAAAAAAAAAAAAAAACTACAAGAGAGCCAAACTCATTCATCATGCACCCTCTTAGCAAGTTAAGGTGGTGGGTGATATATCTGAGGAAGTTTAATATCAACTTATGCATGTTGAGGTCAATGAGGATTAGAAATAGAAAAAGGTAATACAAATTATAAAAATAGTAACTTATCTTATTAATTTAAATATGAGATATATTTTTATAAAGAAAAAAGATTTATCAAAATCTGTTTGAGAATAAAATAAAGATCAATAAAAAAATAAAATAATTATAACTACCTTAGTTATGATAATATAAAATAATATATTATCAAAAATTTAATATCGTCCTATGTTAAGGGAAGAATCTCGTTGTTCCACCTGGCTATCACGTCTTGGATCCAAAGCTTTCTGATTCGTCCATAATTAAAACCCATCTCGTTCGTTGCCTTGGTCCTTATCACAAACCATTCTGCTCACTGCTCGCCCCTTCTCCACTGCGACTGAATCGGAAGCTCAATCAACCCGCCACTCCTAGTTTTCCCTCACACACACACACACGTATCATTGCCATCATATACACAGCTTTGGTATACATCATCTCTATATACATTACAAATTGCCGCCAATGGAGTCTTTCAATTCTTGACGATCAAATACGTCTAATTGATCCACATATGCAATACTCCCTTCAGTTATATTTCTAAGGTAGTGAAAAAAGGATTTCTTTTCGTCCTTAAATTTTCATAACAAAGATTTCCTTTAATCTTTCATTAAATATTATTAATGAAAAAAATAGGTTGTTAAACTATATATATGTTGAAGGTAAATTTACAAATTTATTAAATTTTTAGATAAATATTTAATGAGTTTTAAAGTTTTTTATTTCGATTAAACATTTTAAAAATAATTTATAAATAAAATTGAAGAAAATAGGTATAATTGCATATACACGTTCGCAATTTCACGGAACACATGTAAGTTGCTTTCCCACGTTAATGAGAACCAACGAGTTTTCTCGCCATCTTTGTCGCGGCAATGGCAGCTACTTCCACGCCCATCACACGTGTCCGGGTGACTAATTAAAGTATACCACCAATCTAAATCCACTACACACCCAAGTAATCATTCTGTTGTATTATGAATATGTAACATGCATGCACGAACAAGCTGATTGATCAGCTGCAAATATGTAATTTTAAAAATTTGTACAATGTCTCCCGAAGTATATGTTCAACCAACCAACAAGGTCATAGAAAAAATTGAAGGGACCGTGGTTTTTTTAAAATTCGAATTTGCGCATAAATGTAGAAAACATTTTTAAATAATTAGGATTAATTGAAATTGAAATACAATATAATTTTGAGCACCAATAAACTCCTACCACTTATATTTAATGCTCAATCATATTTTTGAATAGTATTATTTTCGGTAAATACCAAAATGGCATTGGTAACTACTTGTCCATTATATTGAATCTCAACATGATCAGTAGGACTCAAGTCATGAATTAATGGAATCGGTGGCATAAAGAGCAGAATGGAGAAACATGAACCGCTAGGCATCCCATCCAAATATTGTCTCCCATTTTCCCTGACCTGTGAAGTGGGTACCTGCCATCCAGATCGTCGTGATCTTCGGATAAATGCAGTCATTTTCCAAAGTTAATGGTTCGTATATACATACACACATAGCCACTTGAATACATACTAATTTGCCCAGCACTCTGCACCCTTTCTCCTTCAGGATTCTTTCCCATAAATGCTTGCTCCTGCATTTGTCCCTTAGAAAAGTGCAGAGCGTCGATGCTTTGCATTTGTTCAGATGGAAAGAGACGTTCCTGGATGCATTCCAAGATTATTGAGTTTGGCAAATCCAACAAATCCTGCATCTGCTTTCCCCCATCCCCGGGATCATGTCTTACCCTGCACAACGTATGCTGCCAGCAGTGACTTGATACTCTACATTACTTGTACTGTTGTATGATGATCTTGTCACTGTTTTTTAGGGTCTAATTGTTAGTATCGTTTGGGGCAACGACGAAGATGTCAAAACATGGTAAGGGATGGATCCATATTCGGTGCTGAGCAAGAGATGCTCATCACCCACAAAAATCCGGGCCATCCAGCAGATTTATCGTGGATGGCTCAGATTTTTTTTAATTTCATTAAAATAAAAAATTATAAATTTTTTTGACAAATATGTTCAATATTTGAACAGTACTAATTTAATTTGGATGGTCAAATTTAATATTAAAATTTTTATAAATTGATTATCTAGATATACTCTGGATAATACAGATTCAATATTAATTTTTTAATAAATTTTTCATTTTAATAAATATAAAATTAAACTAAAAATAAAAACTTTAAATTTACAACTTGTAGATAAAAATTTAATATTGAATATGAACTATATATCCAGAATATATATAAATAGTCAATTTATAAATATTATAATATTAAATTAGACCAATATTATACAGATTGATGGTGAAAATATTTATCAAAATAATTAATTTATAAATTTTTATTTTCATAAAATTAAAATTAAAAATTTTTGGGCCTCTATAATTATATATTGATTTGACGAAATTTTAGTTTAAAATGGCAGGAAATTATACTTTTGGTTTTCATAATCTATTGATCTGATTTTAATGCGATTTTTTAACTCAAATTCATTAATCAAAAAGTATAATTATAAAATATAAATAATTCTTAACTTAATTTATCATTTTTGTTAAGTATTGTGTTAATTATAACTTAATTTAAATAATGATAGTTTTTGTTAGTTGAGGAAATGTTTAATTTAATTTGTTGATGAGAGCTTGGTGGTGATTGCGGCAGTCAGCTTCCGCCACCTGTAAAATGTGGAATTTTATTTTACAAAAATGATAATAAAATTCTTTTAAACTATACAAATAATATTTTAATCTCTTAAAATGTTATAATTCTTCTAAAATTTTTATTAAAAATTAATATAAATGATCAAATTATCCTTAATTTAAATATTAATTATAATTCATAATTTTTATTTCAAAATTTATAATTTTTTAAAAAATTATAAGAATTCAACAGTAATTTTTAAATTTACATTTAAAATTTTAATATTTCTCATATGTTGTATCAATTACCATTCACAATTTTTTTTAAATTATAGTAATTTAATGATAATTCACAAGTTTGGATTAAATATAATTTAATTATTTATATTAATTTTTTAATGATAAAAAAATTATTGAGATTTTAGGAGAATTATAACATTTGAAAGGGTCAAATATTATTTATATAATTTAAAAAGATTTTATTATTATTATTATCATTATTATTTTTGTTTTCCCCAAATCATCCCGACGTGAATATCAATGTAATCGTTGCTCTACTGTCTTGCAAACATCGAACTGGTTTCTATATTCAACTCCTTATTGTGGCTGAAAAGGACAACAGCTATCTTGACGTGCGGGCTAAGTTGAGAAAAACATACCTAAAATAATGAGAGTATCTTGGGTTTTGAATTATTAATCATACTCACTCCATTAAGAATTATAAGATATTTTAATAAATAAGTAATTAAAAATATATAAAGTATCTTAGGTTTCAATATGCAATTAATGATATTTTTTAAATATCCTTTATTAGATGTTGTATTTAATAAGATATTTTAATTGAAACATTTCATTAAATAAGAATAAATATAAAAAAGTGTATAATCTTAAAAATAATTAACTAATTTATTAGAGTTTGATTGAAAATGACTTATAATATTGAACAAAGGGAATAATTCTTTTGCCCTCATTTACAAGGCAATTGAAAAAAGCTAGTAATGTAATCAATGCACCTTTCTCATTTTATCCTTCATTTAATTATCATTATTTAATCAAGGTGCAAGGGGATTAAGTCTACTTAATGACTTTATTAAGTGTAAGGGGATTAACTCTGATGGATAGTTAAATTGCTATGACTTACTATTAAGAGTACTCATTAGATCCTAAAATAACTCCAATCAATAAAATACTCTTTCTGTTTTTAAATACAAAAGAAACTCATGTATCCCTTTGTCTCTATTTATAAATAAAATTATAAATTTTAAAAAGCATTTATTATATTTTTTTTTCAAATTGTCTCTCATAAAGTCAATGTTTATCTTCATTAGATAAATTTATTTTATTAATTATGGGAATAATTTAGTTCAAATTTTTTAATTTCAGATATAAGTACTATATTTAACCAACCTTATCACATTTTCTCTGAAATATCATTGATATTCACGGGCTCTTGCAACCTTGAGGGAGTGAATAGAAGATGTTTATTAGTTTATCATTTACTTGATAACAATTTACTTGACTTGTTTATGATTTAAAACGAAACTATTTAACATGACCAGTCAAATCCAAAGTGTGACGAACATGCATGAAATGGAATGCTAGCTTATTTAACATAGCCAAACATGTGTGTGTGATATTATTCACTGAAATTAGGTACAACTGCATGCATACCGCTTCAAGCAAGGGGTCCCCAAATCAAATACCCAATTGATGTAGGAGAAATATTATTAGGTACGTGTGGGGTATTGTGTGCTTGTATGTGGACCCGCCCTTCCCCATAGGAAAAGATTAGCTAAGGTAGTTTTTTTTTTTTAAAAAAAAGAGAGGATACAGCTGCATACAACTTCCTTTCTTCTCGCAAAATAGGCCATACGAACAAAGAATTACACTCAAATGAACCAAGCTAACATTTGGTTGAAATAGTGGAATTTTGCTGGTAATAGCAATGAAAGTCATGGTTGGAGTTGTGTACAAAATGCTATCTTTAAAAGTTACTTCGCTGCATAAGTTCAATGTGACATCTTCCAAAGATTCGACGAACCCTTTCACTGGAAATAAGGAGAAAAACAATAACAAAAATATTCAAATGAAAAGAAAAAAATTAGGAGAACATGAGAGAGGGAGAAGAAAGCTTGAAAGCATGTGGTGGTAGTGTGCAAAGCCTTAATGAGATTTCTTTTATTGTTTACAAGTATTTTTTTTATTAGAGACGATATTAAATGTGAGCATTTTTTTTAAGTGAAGATTCAAATCTTAATTTACCACATTATAGGGGATTGACTCATTCTGCTAAACCTTACCCTGTTAGTAAAACTTTAAAAAGAAATTAAGAGGATGCTTTTGAAAGTTGGGTAGCACATGATGATGATTAATGGAGGATTAATCGAAAAGTAAGACAAAAAGCATGCACCAATGTTTAAAAACGGAAGCTCCTTGATCACACAACTCCTAAAAAAAAAAAGATTTTCCTATAAGGAATTTAAAACTAAACTGTTTTATATTTTTTAAATATGAAAACAGCAAAAAAGTATCCATTGATTAATCTTAACAAAGTAAGTAGACATGGTTTCGCTATTGTACTTTCACCATAGTATTTATGTATTAGGAGATCCTTTGATTTAAGTGTCGATGCATGGACTTATTTTAATTTTTTTGACACATTCACACACAAAACTACAATAAATTTAACTAATTAATAGTGATTGATCTAAGCAAGATGACACACCTGCCTCTTTGATTGACTCTTCGTATTTGATATCTCTGATGAAAACCAGAACATGCATGGATAAAGAGAAATAAAATAGTAAGCGAGCAAAGAAGCAAAAATCATATCTATTTAGGAAAAAAGAACAATGGAGAAAAAAACATTACCTCAGGGGATCAGGAACATTGCTGCAACCGGGGGCATAGATAAAATGAAGTCAGGCACCTATCAATAGAGTATAACAAAGAATTATATGCAATCAAATCTTGTATGATATGTACTAAATACTAATACAACAAGTACACAAATAAAAAAAATTGATAAGTTGTACGTACGTGATGTGGAGGAAAGAGCCTTTTCCACATGTTGATCTGTTGTTGGCTATGAATCTTCCTGATTCCTCCATACAAGCGACCCATTCCATCATCATGCTCTCGGTTGTTGTTTTTTCTGAGCACTAGGCGTCTTATTTGAGATCCTAGAGAGTATTGCTTAAACTCCACCACCACCATGTCTGTCACATGTACACTAAACAGTTAATATATACACAAAAAACAATCTAGGACAGACTAATAGTCTCACCGCTCTGGTCACACCGACAATGATTCTCATTCTCATCACATGTTTCTAGGTGTCCTATAGTAGCATACCACCAATCTGCATATCATTAAGAATTAGCATCAAAACTCTGATATCTGATGTCATGTATATCATGGATATTGAATCAAGAATATGTTGGCAGACCCTTTTCACTTTTATGCCTTTTTTCTAGTTTAATATTATCTAACATGGAACCTGGTTCTCATAATAAATAACTCACATTTGACTCCAGCAAAACAATTACAAGTTTTTAATCAACTTTTTATTTAATAAACATTAAGTAGTTCAGAGGAGCGTACCATAAGATGTTTGTCTAGCTGTTCTAAATTGGATTTCAATGTGGTCCGCAGGTGTCAAATTATTGAGATTAGAGACGTGAAAAGCATTTGGAGGAGTTTCAACCGGTGTGGCTCTCACCTTCTCCCACCCTATGTTTTTCCCCATTAACTGCCAACCCTCATGTTGTTTTCTGTATCCAAATTTAATATTCACTATTCATCTTAAAGACCAAATCGTGAAATTAATAATTCTCAAACATTAAAAACATATAAAGAGCAGTTCTTGTATATGGATCATGGAGTTTGGTGGAGAAAGTGATTGCTATTCCTTACCATGCTTGCAAGGAATCTATTTCAGAGTTGTAACTAAGTAAGCCATGGTAGAAAGATAGCAATCCACTGCCCTGCAATGCTTTTACATCAAATATAGAAGTGCGCGCAGGTTTCTTAATTTAAAAAAAAAAATCCAAGAGTTTCTAAGAAAGAATGCAGTCCTACCTTGTAAATTTAGGCTGGGAACCAGAACTTGCCACTCTCTAATGAAAAATATAGAGCTTTCATGAAATAATTTGACAATGAACCTCTAAGCTTTTCAGAGTCTTCCAAATAGGAACCCAGAGAGAGAAACGGCCAATCACCACTAAAAGTTCCCACCGATCCATTCTGATCAATTCGCAACAAGTTATCTTGTTTTGCTGAAGTTATATGCCATTGCCATTCCTCATAAACCACCTTTCCTAACAATAGACCCTATTTTTGTTGGATGTGTTGTTTCCAGATATCATCAGCTGAGCATCTCTTCCTCAGGATCACACATACTTTCGATGTTATACACAATTCTGATGGTGAAAGATGTTTTAGAATGCAGTCCAAGCTTGACTCTGGCGAATTCAGAAGGCAAACACTGCTTGCCTTTTCATTCTCCATGAGATGCAACTTCTCTCAAAGTAAGTTTCTAAGAGACTATAGCGTGTAAAGAGGAGAACGAACGTAACAGGGAATTGAACCACAACTCGTGCATTCTTTCAAAGCTTTTAACGAATAGAGAATGTGTAACATCCCAATTTAAATTTTAATAGTTAATTTGGGTTAATAGAAATTTTAAAAAAATAATATTTAGAGGTAAGCAAATTAGTAAGAGATGATTATTAAATCTAACTTAGGATATAATTTTAAATTAAAAAAATTTAAAAAAAATTAAAAAAATAATTAAAAAATAAAAAAATATTATTAAATTATTATTACAATAAAAAAAGGAAAAGGTATTAAAAAAAGGGGGAAGAAGAAGAAGAACAAAATTTGCTTTCGACCGCCGCACAACAATCATTATGTATATAATAATAATAAACAAAGGAGAGAGAGAAAAGAAGAAATAATAAAAAAATGTGGGACCCACTGAATTTTTATAAAAACTCACCTGTTCCTTTGTTTCTTCATTCATTCCTTCGTACGCGAGCCGAGGCAGAGTGAGCATGAGTCGCCGGTGCGGGAAATTTGAGTTTTTAAGGTAAGAGTTTTTAATAGGATATTTAGGGTGTGATTTCAAGTTTTTCAAGACTAAATAAGTATTCTAAAATTTTTTCTTAGTCATCCTTCCTCTTTAGTTTCTAATTTTATGGTGGTAAAAAATTTAGAATCTGGAAGAGGGATGAATTTATGTTGAATAAATATAGTTTATGAGGTTGTTAGTAGTATAATAAATGTTCTAGAGTATAAATTTATTGATGATCTTTGAATTTGTGACTTATGGATCAAATTCTAAACTAGATCTGAAAATATATGTTGATTTATTGAGGTTTAGATGATTATTTGGGATGAGAAATGAATTATTACGGCTATAGGATTATGATTCTAAGCTAGAGACTCAATTTTTAATTTTTGAGTATTTTAGGTACGAATTTATGAAATAAAAAGAAAATTTTGATAATAGAAATTAGTTTATAAGTTGATTTTTAGATTATTAATGTTTATTGATGAGTAAAAGAGGAGTTAAAAATTTTACTTAATAGTATTAACTCTAGATTTGTACTAAGATTAAGATTAGGAATTATGTTACATTTTTAATTCTATTATTAGAATTATTTTATTAGTTTCAAAAATTGAAACTAATATTTATAAATAATATGTTATTTGTAGATTATATTATTGGTGAAGATTGTGGTGGGAGAGAAATTGTAAGGAATAATTTATTAAAAAAGCCACAAGGTAACCATGCTTTTAATTTGTGATTAGTGTTACTTCATGTTAATTGGGTGATTATTGAGAAAATTATGAATTTTGTAATATTGTATAATTGTGCAATATTATTATGAATTTGTTTGATTATTGTGGGAGGTGTTTGGAGACTTGCTATTGTTGTTGTATTTATGTGACACGTGGTACGCCCCTATGGAGCTCAATAGGTGGCTTGTAAGGGCTCGGGCTAATCTATCTTTGGCCGGGTAATTTAGCACCGAGTGAAGGCTACGGCTTGAGGTTAATGGAGGGATATAAGGATGGTTGTTTGTGTGTATTGTAATATTTCTTATATTTTGTTGGAATTATATTATTTTTGGTTCTCACTTAGTAAGCACACACTTAACTGTTTGTACGCACTATCATAAATTGGCTTTAGTTACTGGGACTTTTGAGTCTCATTATGTGGTTAACAATTTTCAGGAGAAGAGCCACGAGTGACACGTGGAGGAGTCCCAGAGGCTTAGTGGCATAGATCCACTGTCTCTTTTGGGTATTTGATTTATGATTTATAATGTATTATATTGCCAATATTAGAGCTTTTTGTTTATTGACAATTATATAAATATATAAATGTAATCATGCCTTTCAAACTATTTCTATTTTTGGTACATTTTGGATGACTGTAATTTTAATATTTGGTTTACTTTGAATTGGTTAAAATGGCATGATTATGAGACCAAATAACTGGCTTGTGTTGAAAATTGACTAAATTATTTATTTTACTTGTTGGGAGTATAAGGATGGACAAATGTGATTTAGTTTACTTGTTAGGAGTATAAGGATGGACAAATGTGATTTAGCCTAATAGCATGTGGGAGTTAAAAATTTATCTGAAATGTTATATTGTGTAAGTTGAAGCCAATTATAAAATATTTTATATTGAAATCATTGATATAAAAATGTGTTGGGTGGTTGTAACCCAACTATAGTTGAATTAAATTATTTAAAAAAAAATTTTGGTATGTTACAGAATGTACCTTAAATTTTTGTCTTCCTTATTTAGAATTCACAATTGCTAATGCATTCAATTGTGAAGTGTAATCATCAAGTTTTATGAAATATAAAATATTAGGAGTCCCAATCCTCTGAGGATATAAATGAACGTTGTAGTTCATGTTAGACTGTTCTTTTAACTTTTTCTTGCAATAGCTATATTCGCTTATACAACTTTTTCGTGTTCATTCTTTAATAATTTCTCTCTATATTTTAATGTGGCTTAACTGTTAAAAAGATAATTATAGACTCCAAGAAATTTTTAAATTATTATTTCTGCAGCCGTGTACGACTAAATGGCATGGAATAAAATATCTAGCTAATTAATAATAAAAATTAATATAAAAAATTAAAAATTCATATTTTAACGTGAGCTGGAGAAAGACGTTACAAGATTGAGTTTGGCAAATCCAGCAGACAAATCCTGCATCAACTTTCCCCCATCCTCATGTCTCACTCTACAACGCACGCTATCAGCAATGACATGGTATTATACTATTGTATGATTTATGATATTGTCACTGTTTCTTTTTTAGCCCCAATGGTCACTTTTTAATTGTTTTCATTTGGAACAATCGTGGTGAGGTTGTCAAAATATGACAAGGGACGTCCTGTTTTTTCCTTCGATCGTTTTATGTTTTCAACGAAATTGATTCCACTATACATTGATGACGTTTTTTAGTATAAGTAAATTTTTATCAACTCATGTAATTTAAGAAAGTTGATTGATTTCAATAATTATATCTGAAAATAAAAAAACTTGGACTAAAATGTTACTGTGATTAATCTTTCATTTTTTCCTAATTTAATAATAATACCTCCGTCTTAAATTATAAAATATTTTTAGATAAAATTGCACATGCTGATAGAGCTCATTAATTATAGTTTATAATTTTATTTTTTTAAAATAAAAATATAAACTTTTTAAAATACTCTTCGTTTAATACTTTATTTATAAAAAAATATTAAAAAAATAATGAAAAGGATAATATTAGAAAAGCATAATCAATAAAACTTAAATTTTGTCAAAGCATTTTATATTTTATATTTTAGTATGTCAAATTTTTTTAAAAATATTTTATAATTTAAAATGGAGGAAATGCTATCATTTAGTCAAGGACAATTAAGGAAAGATGTTATAAATGCTTTTTAAAATTGTAGTTTTGTTTATTAAAATAACACGAAACCATTGGTAAAAAGACCAAAACCAAATGAAAGTTTTGTTTATATTTAAAAATAGATGGAGTATATTAGTTTTTTTAAGTAAGCAGAGAGAAAGAAACGAGGGACTCTCTTTTCAACTTTGACTCTTTCATCGCAATCATTGCTTTTTTCTTTTCATGTTACTTGAAAAGTAATTGCTCCTGCTTTAGCCACTTAAATTGTGAATTTTTTTTATTTTTCATCAAATAAATGATATCTTTTTTTAAAATTTTTAGTTATATTCTTAATGTTGGATAATCTCATTGTTATGATCCAAACAAGCATAAAATGTATGCTTGCATATTCGTCTATAGATCAAACTAGATATGTAATTATTGAAATAATAGTCATATACAAGCATGATGACTTATACATTGTTACATATCCCTATAAATTCAGGAACTTTTGAGTAGGCTGTGCCAATAATAGATATTAACTCCCCAAGGTGCTAAAGACAAGAAGTAAGCATCTTCCAATTAAATTGGTACATATACAATAACTAAACTTTGAATTGTCAATCCCAATTGCTTGTTTTAATGATAAGATTCCTACCATTCATGCTAACTTTAGTAGGTAATAATAGAACAAAAGATGTAAGAAACTCCTAATAATGATAATTCTCACTGCAAATTAAAATTTATTATAGAAATTAAAAGAAATTTTTAAATAAATTAGATACATCATGTCATTGTGTCGGTCAAAGAAATGATATTAAAATATTATTAAATATAAAATAATTTTGATATCAATGACACCAGAGAGAGAAAATATAAAAAATTAAATATATATTTTATTATAAGAATAAAATTAATTAAAATAACATCATATAAATTTTCATTTAAATAACTTGAGGGTATTCTAATTAAACAGAATAAAAATCAAGTCACGCTAAGGATTTCTCTAGAAATTCATACTTTTGGTCTTCTTACATTTTTATTTAATTTTAGTTACTTTATGTAAAAGAACGGTCATTGATTTTTTTTAATTCATTTTTTTCACAATTTTGTATAAAGAAAATAAAATGTTATATACAAAAGATAGAATATATTTTTAAAATGATACATTTAATAAAAATAAATTGTGAAAAATTTATCATATACTACCATAAGCCAAGACAGTATTCCATTTTTTTATTAATTGTTTTTTAAATTTGATCAGCTACCGGATATTGTTTTCCCCTAAGCATCGCAACGTGAATATCAATGAAATCATTGTTCTCTTCCCCCGGTTGGTGCAGTCCGTCCTTGGAAACATCGAATTAATTTCTGCTTTCAATTAATTTTTTTTTTTGATAAGTCGGAAAGTCGCTTTTAATCAATTCCTATCAAGGCTGAAAATGACTACAGCTATGTTTTTTTTTTTTTTTTTTTTTAGGAATTAATGACTACAGCTATGTTGACCTACGAGAAAAGCTAAGAAATATTTCCTTTTTACATTAATAAAATTTAATAATCACACTTTATAAGTTTACTTTTTTAAAATAAAAATAAAAATTTATAATAATATTTTTAATTTAATATAACTTTAAATATGCGAGTAAAAAATTAGTATTAATAAAATTTTATTTTTATTCAGATATTTAATGCTAATAATTTGGAACAACAAAATATTATTACCTAGCTCCAGATTATATTATATGAGTTGTACATAAAATAATAAAATAAATAAGGTAGTACTTCCTATTTTTATTTATAAAAAACTATCACTTTTAACATGTTTGTTTATATAAATAAAATCACATTTTTAATAACTATTTATTATAAAAATTTTAAATTATCCCTCATAATTTTATCATTCATAGTTATAAAAATAATTAATAAAGACTTAATTAATACAATTAATGAAAGGTATTACAGTTCAATTCTTTTATTTTTAATCATAATTAAGATAGTTAACTAATTTTTTAAAACTGTATAATATAATTTTTTTCTCCTACAAATAGAAATGGAGGGAGTAAGATTTAAGTCTTTAGTTTTGTATATTTAATACTTCCTCCATTCAAAAATGTAGGGCATTTTTTGAGGAGTTTATTATTTAAAAATATAAAAATATTTTTAATTTTTCGAGATGTAATCATTGCCTTTTTTCTTTTAAAAGTATCCCTATTGATAATGACTTTATATTTATTATAGGGTGTTTAATAGAAATAAATATGAAAAGATAAGGTTATTTTGAAAGTAAGTAACTACTTTATTGGGGTGAGATTTAGTTAAAAATACCTTACATTTTTTAATAAATGAAGTATATTTTTATCCAATCAAATTAAAATTAGTAACTTTTAATGTGCTAATAATATTAATAATGAGTTTATGTCTTATTTTAATTGAAAATAAGCTCTAAGTGTGTGTGTGTGATTTTTTTCTGATATTAATATTTCTTCTATTAAAAAATATAAGATATTTTTAATCAAATCCCTCCTCTTAATAAAATAATTACTTGTTTTTAAATTTTTTTTATTTTTATATATTTACTCTTATTTAATAGAATGTTTCACCCTACAATAAATATAAAATAATTTATTTAATAGTTTTAAAAAAATAATAATTATACTTTAAAAGATTAAAAATACTTAATATTTTTAAATATTTAATTTTTTTAAAAATACTTTTTATTTTTTCAATGAGGGAGTATTGGATGACCAAATTTGCTGGGCTCAAACAAACACGTACTACAGGATACCGGTTACTTCAATTAGAATACCCCATTGCTTATCCCAGAAACCCAACATGAGATTTGATCATTAGTTTGATGCATTAATTCAAATCAATCCTCCTATTTAGTATAGCTACGTATAAAAATCTATTTCATGATGCAGCTACACGTGTTTATTGGATATTTTCACTGCTCCTTTTTTCTCTTGAATATTATTATCATCTAACTTATATTTTCTAGTGTTTAACTATTTGTACGTGTTTGACTTTTTTTATAAAAAAAATTAATATAGCTAAATCTATGGTACGATTGTTTACTGAAATCAGGTACAACTGTATACAGCGGCCTTTCTTCTAGTTCCACTCAAAAAAACAGGCCTAGGATTACATTCAAATGAATCGAGCTAACATTTGGTTGAAATGGAATTTAACTAATATTGATTAGAAGCAGCAAGAAGAAGCAGTCCACCTTCCTCTGTGATGGATATTTCTTGTGCTTGACATTCGATGAAAATTAATTGGGATTGGGTTTAGTCCCTCATACCATCCTGATGAACCAAGTTCAAATTTTTATAAAAAAAAGTAGCTGTATTTAGTATTGAATTATTTCTTGAATATTATTTTCCTAAATAGAGAGATGCTTATAAGTAATGAAAAAGAAAAAAAAAAAATAGCTAATAAGCAAGCAAATGATGTTGATAATAAAAATCATGTCTATTTTGAAAAAACGACAATAATGGAAAATAATTTAGCTCAGGGGATCATCATTAACCGCGGCGGCGATGGAGGCCCACGTATATAAACAATCTCAGACACCTGTCAAATAGATCAGTAACGAGGAATTAACATTGTATCAAATCTAGCCAGTATCATACTGTATATATACTAATACAATAAGCACCCAAAATAATTCTCGACAAAATTATTTAAACATGACTATGGAATTTCTTCCTCCTTTTGAACACACGTTTTGAAGCATATTTGCCGGAGTAGATCCAGCTAGGAATTTGAGATAAGCAAGGATGAAGTCAAACTCTAAATTGTACGTACGTGATGTTGGGGAAAGATTTTTGTCCAGGCATCAATGTGTTGTTGGCTATGAATCTTCCTGATTCCTCCATACAAGTAACCCAATCCATCATCGTGCTCCCGGTGGTTGTTTCTGCTGAGCACTCGGCGTCTCAGTCGAGACGTGGGAGCGTACTGCTTGAACTCCACCACCACCAAGTCTGTCACACTTAACTATGTAATTAATTAATGCCCACAGCACCATTTCAAGTACGCAATCCTTAAAAACCACAAAACCATATATAATCTCACCATTCCGGTCGCACCCACAATGATTATCGTTCTCATCACCACATGTTTCCAGGTGTCCTATGGTAGCATACGCCCGATCTGCTTATCATGACAGAATTTGCAGAAAAGGTGTTGTAAATCATGTATTCTCTCCAGTTCTATATACAAGTCACGTAGGACAAATTTATTGTCCATTTTATTAATGACTTGCATAAAAAATGAGTTGTTAATTTCTTTTTTCAATTTTACTCATTCATAATTTTTCATGACCAGAGTAAAAGGTTACTTGTGAGAGTAAAAATGTTTTAAGATTATGCATTTTAATAAGGGTTATAAATTATGGGAATTTCTTTTTTTGAATGTCATCAATTAATTACACCTCGTTAGTTCTGGTAAGACAATTAAAAGTAATTTATATATAAGATTGAAACATATAGATCTTGAGTTGAGAAATTAAAGAATAGGTTCATGGACCTCTGTTTATTTATGCCACAATCTTTCTCAGTTTAACTTATTCTCTTATTAACTAACTCGACTCCCATCAAAACAATATTGCAAGTTATATGATCCATTTTTTAATTAACAAACATAATAGTTTAGAGGAAGGCGTACCATAAGATGTTTGTATAAATGTTCTACGTTGGATTTCAATGTGATCCCCAGGTTTCAAATTGCTGGGATCAGAGACATGAAGAGCATTTGGAGCAATTTCGATAGGTGGTGCTCTCGCCATATCCCATCCCATGTTTTTCTCCAATAACTCCCAGGCACCTTCTTTTTTTCTGCACCGATAGATCCGAAGTCAATATCTGTATATATTCATCTTAAAGACCAAATTAAACCATGACTTGGTAATATAATTCTGCGACAGCAATTAAAGTCTGGCAGAGAAGAAGCGCTCGTTCCTTACCGTACGTGAAAGGAATCTGATCCAGAGTCGTAACTAATTAAGCCATGGCCACAAGATACAAAAACAGTGCCCTGAAACACTTAATTTTACATCAAATACATACAGAGACTGTGCTGCTGCTGATTCTTTTTAAAGAATAAAAATCCAAGAGTTTTTAAGAAATAAAGCAATCTTACCCTGTAAAATTGAGCCGGGAACCAGAACTTGCCACTCTCGAGAGAGAAATACAGAGCTTTCATGAAATGACTTGATAATGAACCTCTAAGCCTGACAGAGTCTTCCAAATATGAACCGAGAGAGAGACGTGGCCAATCACCACTGATAGTTCCCACTGATCCACTGTGATCGTTCCCCAGAGGTTTATGTTGTTTTGCTGATGTCATATGCCGTTGCCACTCCTTATAAATTGCCTCTCCTAATAGTGGACCCCATTTTCGTTGGATGTGTTGTTTCCAGAGATCATCAGCTGACATCTCTTCCTCAGGACCACGCAAACTTCCGAGGTTACACACAATTCCGATGGTGAAAGATGTTTTAGAATGCAGTCTAAGCTTGATTCTGGCAAATCTAGGAGGCAAAAACTAAATGTCGTTTTGTTCTTCATGACATAGATGCGTGTTTCTAACATGTAAAGAGGGCAAGCTAACCCTTGTATTCTTCCTTGTTAAGAATTCACTATGCTATAATATGCGATGCATTCAATTGTGACATGCATCAAGAAGTATATGAAATATAAAATATTCCCAGTACTCTCAGGCTATAAATGAGCGTTGCAGCTAGCTCATGTTAGACCGTTCTTTTTCCCCCCACATTGGAATAGTCGCACTTCCATGTGTTATTTACAATTTTCCCCATGTTTTATTATTTCTAGATCTCTACATATTTTAATATGGTTAAATGTAAAAAAGACAAGTACAGGCTCCATTAATACATTTCTAAATTACTATTTCCCCCTTACTCTCTCCATTTTTAAATATAAAAATAATAATTAACTCATACAATTTGAACAAGTTAATTAATATTAATAATTATGTCTGAAATTGAAAAACTTGGTTTAAAATATTCTTATAATTAACATGTTTACCTTTTCCTTTAACTTAATGATACTATGATACTGTCCATATATGATGGGCAATTTGAAAAGAAAAAGGATAATAATTGCTCATCAAAATTTATATTTTTACTTATAAAAATTATAAAGTATACTCCCTCTGTTTAAAAATATAAAGTATTTTTAACTGAATTTCACCTCTCAATAAAATAGTTACTTACTTTTTAACTAACCCTATCTTTTTACATTTACCCCTATTAAACACCCTACAATAAATATAAAGTCATTATCAATAGGGGCACTTTTGAAAAAAAGACAATAATTACACCTTAGAAGATTAAAAATACCTTACATTTTTAAATATTCAACTCTTAAAAAAATACCTTATATTTTTGAACGGAGAAAGTATGATAGTTTCTTTTATAATAAAAAATGAAAGGAGCATAACTCATGGAATAAAATATCCAGCTAATTTATAATAAAAATTAATATAAATTTGAAAAACATATTTTTGCTTGGGCTGAATTCTGAAGAGACTTTATGACAAAAAAAAAAATTGTCCATGAAGTTGGGCAGTTTGTTCAACGTGACAAATTAAACAACTAATTAAAGAATGTAAGGGATGAATTCTATGTCGCTTCTTCTTGTCATTGCCTTCACAAAACTCTGGCCAATCCAGTTGGAGTGCTGCCAAGATGCGCATGCATACATAGAGTATATGTATACTTTCTCTCATTATATTTATAGATCACTTTTAATATTTTTTCTAAAATTATAAAAAAATTAAATCCCATTAACCCTATTTAAAAATTTAATAAAATTCTAACTTTAATCCGATTAAATATATTCATACATGCTTTAAAAATAAGACATTCTAACATTTAATAACTTTCTTAATATTTAATGGGAGCCAAAAGACAAAGATCGACACAATAATTATTGAATTACTCAATAAAAAGAAACAAAACAAATACCCTCTCTGCTAATGAGAAAAACGCAACCCACTGATTTATACGTTGTGGAAATAAATTTTTATCACTTGCTAGAGTCTGAGAAGAATAATTAAACAAATTTATCACTTGCTAGAACCTTCTCTTTCTCCTGTGTCGATCCATTTGAGAGGTCCTTTGCAGAGAGAATGCGATTGACAATTGGAGGGCGGGGGAAAGTTTGGACGTATTGTATTTTTAAATGGATTCTAATACGAATTGTATTTATGTGATAGTGATGTGCGATGGAATAAAATGTACTAAGATTTTTGCCAATCAGGATAAATTTGAAAACATTTATTTTTATATTTGTACTTGGGGTTAGAAAAAATATAAATCTTTTTTACATATTCACAATTAATGCTTGCTCATATATACTTCTCTATTATGGATTTGAGATTTATGCGTTGCTTTTTATAGGATTGATGAGCAAAATTATACTATAATATGTACATTATGGATATTTGCCTTCAATCTATTTACTCCCAATACAACATGTGAGACCCCACGGTTTTTAGTTAACTGACATCTAACTTACATTATATATATATATTAGAGTCTTTTTTTGCCTATTTTTTAAAGTTAACGGGCAAAATTACAGTATCGTGCAGTTAATGATGTTGGAAAACTCCTCAAGAGATCAACACTTTGTTAATATTTTTCCCCATATTATTTTAATCTAAATTTTTGTGATTGGGCTTCAAATATGGAGATATCAATATATGATGAGAAGCTAAATTCATTGCCTTCCTTAATAGAAGACAAAGTTAGGAATCCTTGTGTCGTGCTAATATTTGCTCGATTCAGAGATGGAAGAAGGGAAGACGACTTGAGACTGAGTGAACATAGGATCTGTTTATTAATCATCATCTTTTTATCATTATATCCATTTCATTAACTCTTAAGGCTTATATTTAGCTTATTTGTTTTTTTTTTTTGTAGAAAAACAATTTACTTGACTTCTTATATATATGATTTAATTAAACGGCACTATTTTGTAGTCCGAAGTGAGACGAACATGAATGAGATCAGTGTTAGCCTATTTAAGTGTCTGTGTGTGTGTATGATTATTTACTGAAAAATTGGAAGCAACTGTGTACAGATGCCTTTCTTCTAGTTCTCCAAAAAAAAAAAAAAAGAAGTTAAATAGGCCAATATGAACGAAGGATTAATATTACACTGAAATAAACGGAGCTAACATTTGGTTGAAATGGAATTTAACTAACATTGATTGAACTCATCAAGAAGTCGCAGTACACCTTCCTCTTCGATGTGATTGACTCCTTGTGTTTGATATCCTATGAAAACATATAAGAACATGGATAAAGAGATATAAAAATAGCAAGCAAGATTTGAAAATGATTTTGATAAGAAAAATCATGTCTATGTAAAAATAAAAAATATAATTTACCTTAGGGGATCATCAATTGACCGTGGCGGAGCCGGGGAAAGCCCCACCACATATAATAACGTCAGGCGCCTGTCAAATAGAGTAACGCAGTATGTATAAAATCTAGTATCATATGCCAATTCAATAAGTATGTAAAAATAATTTTTTGACAAAAATGATCCAAAATCGAATTCAATACACCCGCAGAACCATACGTGAAAAGTTCGTGGACATGAATGGGGGCTTAACCCTTTTCTCTTCCTCCTTTCAACGCATATTCATGAAGCATTTAGATTATTTATCCTATTTGCCTGGAGTCTCGCCAGAGATAAGCAATATAATGAGGTCAAACTCTAAATTTTAGGTACGTGATGTGGAGGAAAGATTTTGTCCAGGCATCAATGTGTGTTGGCTATGAATTTTCCTAATTCCTCCAAACAAGCGAGCCATTCCACCATCATGCTCCCGGTAGTTGTTTCTGCTAAGCACTAGGCGTCTCAGTCGAGATCTTGGAGCATACTGTTTGAACTCCACCACCACCAAGTCTGTCACACACTTAACAATATAATTGATGCCCACAGCACCATTTCAAGTACACAATCCTTAAAACCACAAAGCCATTATACAATCTTACCATTTCGGCCGCACCCACAATGATTATTCTCATTCTCATCATCACATGTTTCCAGGTGTCCTATGGTAGCATACGCCCAATCTGCATATCATAAGACAATTGGTACCAACGCTCTCTCGCAAATCATGTACTCCTTTCGCTTTTACATACAGCCTCGTTGTAGAAGAAATATGTGATCCTTTTTATTAGTGACTTTAATTTGTATAAAAATAGATCGTTAATTAATTTACTTTCTTTCAATTTTAACCTTTCAAAAGTTTTCAAAAGTAAGTAATTAGAATGTTACCTAAGAGAGAAAAATTATTTGAAGATGATGCATTTAAT